CCACCCCTACCCCCCCCCCAATAAAAAAAAAAACAGGCAAATGAAGAAACTTACTGTATGTACATACTATGCTATGTATGTATTATCGTATGTAGCATATGGTGTATACAAATAATTTGTTTTCTTAGATAAAAAATAAACTTTTCGTTGAAGGGCTATGCTTGATACGATTATATCTTCGTGGTATTTATTTATCTATTTGATAAATACATATATAGGCCCCTATATATATATATGTACAGTATATTGATATATATATAAATACACGAATCTACATACGGTTACAGTAAATGTTGTACATGTTTTTACTCACATTTTCGTAGGGGGCACCATTTCAATTTCATTGGCATTTTACTTTAAATTTGGACGCATGCTATTGCTGAAAATTCCTTCGTGGTTGGACAAAGGCGTTGTAACAGTGTAGGAGCTAAATAGATTCTTTGAAAACCCTACATTTTCTGTAATATTCTAGTGAAACAAATATAGAAGTTGTCGCTGATAATGCACTTGTCAATTGTAGTACTGTCTGAGCCGGGGACGTACATATAATTGTGTCCCCGTAGTACTGGTACGTACTACAATTCACCCGTAGATGTAGCCGGCATCGAAAGGGCCGGGGTGTAGCTGTCAAGTGGTCTTGTCCTACACTAGCCTAGGCATTATCAGCAAAAGTCCAATTTTTAAGATTTTCCATTGAATTGTATTATACTGTACTGATATAACGAAACAGTGTCTGAATTTTCGAGACCAACTCGTTCGTTTTGATTCAATTGTGTATAATGGTAATGGTGGTAGGGAATGTCTTATTTGAATTAAAATCATACACATAAAAAAAATGACAGGGCAATTGCCTTCTAATAGGCCTACACATACTTTTCCAAAAACCGCAAAGTCCACTGATTAATATCAGATAAGGTAGTATAATACATACTCCAAGTATCGAAATGCACGCCATCGTGTCGGGATTCAATATTTCGACATTAATTATGTCATCCGAAATATTGAATCCCGACACGATGGCGTGCATTTCGATACTCCTGATGATTAATGTCTTCTGCATTAGAAAAAAGGCGTTGATTTTTTTTTATTTCTTTTTTTTTTTTTTCGGGAGGTGCAAGGTGGTAAGCCTGTAAAGTACAAATTAAAACGATTAAAACGCATTTGCAAAGAATGGAACGGTGCGAGATCTCCTGGCATCTAGGTGCAATATTCTTGCTCAAGCAAACAGCATATCCGCCAATGTGACACATATCAAGATACTGTATTTAGCTTAAAAATACACGCGTACCGTATAGGCCTATTTGGAAAATGACTATCAGAAAACTTGTTTGAACAAATAATCAACCTCTCTCACAATAACAGCCTATTTATTCACTTACTGATAAAAAAATAAATAAATAAAAGTTCCATATCAATTTTTTTTAATCCCAAGATCCCAAGGTTTCAATAAAAATCCCAAGATCTTGGGATAAATCCCCAAGCAGTGGAAATTTGTGAACCGTGTATTTGATCGGCCTAGTTTGCGTCAAAAAAAAAAAAAAAAAAAAAACACCAGTGAGCCGAGGCTGGGAAATCTGTTTCTACTGCTCTGTATTAATTTTCTTATTTAATATCTGTTTTGATACTGAACAAATTCTATCAATCAGTTAAATCAATATATCGATTTTCCTTTTTTCTGGAAAGTAATCATTAGTTTAAACCCTGTCTCTTATACACATCTAGATGTGTATAAGAGACAGGCATTAAAACGATGCCCCGCATTACCGGGACCTTCACATGCATGTAACAGTTTCGTAAATACATCCCCGGTAAGTCCCCGCTAGGCCCGGGACTACAAATGACAAGTGCATAATAAAGGAGAGACGGCTTTTAATTTTCAAAATAATTAAACCATTTCAACGGGAAGATAGAACCATTTATATAGACACCTTAAGCATTAATACTCATTACAGTTATACCGTTTTCAAATTGGTTTTATGTTGCAATAAAATTAGGGTTAAAATGATATAGAGAACAATAACTATTTTTAGCATAGTTTTAAACTGTTTGTGCTTCGTCGTATGGGTGTCTCTAAAAGAAGTAATTAATCTTTTACCTTTTTTTATATTTTATGACAACCGATATATCCTTAACTTAATCGACTATATTAATTATTTAATAATACTGTTTACTTATAAAAATCTTTAACTGAGTGCAGTACTTCCGTGCATCACTGATTGTGAAATAAAATTGTAAATTAGCGCCAAAGGGAATAGGACAGTTATTAGCAGACGATTGGGTAACGAGAGAGCTAAGCTGGGACTGTCTCGTCTGTGATTGGTTAAACCAATAGGTGCTAGAAGTCAAACGCAACACCCGTGCAGGCTATATAAACGAATCTTAATCGCCGAATAAGCATCATTCTTGATTTTAGTAACCGAATAGCGAATACATTATGTCTGGACGTGGTAAAGGAGGAAAAGCTAAGGGAAAGGCCAAGAGCCGATCAAGCCGTGCTGGACTTCAATTCCCAGTTGGTCGTGTTCACCGATTTTTGCGAAAGGGTAACTATGCATCTCGTGTCGGTGCTGGTGCCCCAGTCTACATGGCTGCCGTACTCGAGTACTTGACTGCTGAAATCTTGGAGTTGGCTGGTAACGCTGCCCGTGATAACAAAAAGAGCAGAATCATCCCCCGTCACCTTCAACTTGCCATCCGTAACGATGAAGAGTTGAACCGTCTTCTCGGAAGTGTGACCATCGCACAAGGAGGTGTACTACCAAATATCCAGGCTGTACTTTTGCCAAAGAAGACCCAGGCCAAAACCAAGTAGATTTTGTGAACCATCTTTTCAAACCAAACGGCTCTTTTCAGAGCCACCATATTCACTAAAGAGATTTGGAAGCCGTTAACAGTCTATTTTTTCATTCTTCATTTGACTGACGTACTTAGCCTGCTATTACAATTTTTTATAGCTTTTTATTAATTACAGTATTTGCTCAACAAAAACGTTAACAACAAAGCTCATAGCAAAAATTACGTAAATGTGTATCGCACAAACGCCTAAACGTACATTAGTACTATTTGAAACTCAACAAAGCCAAGCACAAAGAACACGCCCTTTTTTTGTACCATCTTAACATTCTGAAAGTAATCATTAGTTAAAACATTCAAGGATAAAAACACAGAAATGCAAAAAGCAACTTATTGCCACTGTGGTCCCTAAATAAGAATACTAAAATTACAGAATAATAGAACAGAGTAAATCTAGAGACATTGCAATAAATACATTTAAAATACTACATATATGGATTCAATTTTCAAAAAATTAACATCATTTGTTAATTTTTTTTCATCCATCAATAGCTGTATCAATGAATGAGAATATACTAGGCCTATGCGTACCAGATTTTGGTTTATAATTTGATATTCTAGAAGTAGAAAATCTAGTTCTGAAGTTGGTTGATAAACTCAATACCATACATACATGTACATATTAATACCTCCATGTACACATACCATTAAAAACATATGGTACATATTATATTTAATTATTTTTTTAAACAAAGTACATATTTGTTTTGTGTTGAAATACAAAATAAATTTTACCTTTTAAATCCGGGAACAGTGAAATTGCTGATTTATTTTATTTATAATTTTTCACCATTTTTTAAAAATTTGCTTACTTTCAATAGTGGTGTTTATTCCTTTGATATTTTTTGGATTTAGTTCTACAATGCATCTTTATTATTTCATTATTGCCTTAGCATTGTAATTTACCTTATGAATTCATTTTTTCCTTATAGTCTTTTTTTTGTTTTTTTTTAAATACAAAAACTAAAAATAAAATAAATGACGGTAGTAAATGTCATTAATAAAGGAATGATCCATTTCAGAATAGGGATGTTAGTTAAGACGCTATTACACCTAGTTAATCCCACTCATGGTAATTACTGGTGTTCATAGTATAATTAGAAAAGTACAGTATCGCTCATTTCTTCCTTGTTAACTAGGCTAACTATTTATTAGGTTGTATTTATTTTAATACATTTACCATAGAGCATCATCATTTCTGTTATTTTTACTGGTGTTCATAGTATAAATAAAGTACAGTATCAGTTATTTCTTCATTGTATTAACTAGCCTAATTATTTATTAGGTTGTATTTATTTTACTAAATTTACCATAGAGCATCATCATTTTTGTTGTTTTTACTGGTGTTCATACAGTAGTATACTGTAATTAGCACAGTACAGTACTGTATCAGTTAATTCTTCATTGTATTAACTAGCCTAATTATTTATTAGGTTGTATTTATTTTACTAAATTTACCATAGAGCATCATCATTTCTGTTGTTTTTACTGGTGTTCATACAGTAGTATACTGTAATTAGCACAGTACAGTACTGTATCAGTTAATTCTTCATTGTATTAACTAGCCTAATTATTTATTAGGTTGTATTTATTTTACTAAATTTACCATAGAGCACCATCATTTCTGTTGTTTTTACTGGTGTTCATAGTATACTGTAATTAGCACAGTACTGTATCAGTTATTTCTTCATTGTATTAACTATCCTAATTATTTATTAGGTTGTATTCATTTTACTAAATTTACTATAGAGCATCATCATTTGTTTGTTGTATTTCTTTTAAAGTATAATAGTACATGAATTAAATACAATCTGGTTAGGTTGTATTTATTTAAGTACAGTAAATACAATCTATTAATACCTGTATTTATTACGTTAATGTATTAAGTAATAATAATATAATAGTGTAGTTTTATATAGCGCACAAATCCATCTAATGTAAGATGCTCAGGGCGCTTGAAATGTGGACTAGGAACTCGATCAATGACTTTCTTCGCCCCTAAGGGTCCCTTCGTGTCTGTGCTACCCGGTAACCCGGTAACAGCAATTCTCGTCGTCCACCACAGGGGCTGTCTGTTCCAGTACACCGGGGTATCCCCCTACTCGTCTCGAAGGATGTACTGGGTTCTTTATAGTGCACATGAGCCATTGTATACACTGGGCCTACGGTTTATAGTCCTTATCCGAGAAGACTTGTTCTACCACCAGAAACATAGGCGAGCGTGCCGTTCGTACCAGCGCCGATATTATGGCTATAGCTTGCGGCACCCCTGCTAACCGCTCGGCCATTCGACTCACCAAGTATCATAGTACATAATAATAACAATAATAATACAACCTATTAATAAAAAAGTTCACTTATTTCTTTATTGCATTAACTAGGCCTAATTTATTAGGTTGTGTTTATTACTAAATTCACTAGCAGAGCATCATAATTTCTGCTGTATTTCTTTAAGTATTATACATTTAGTTAAATATATATAATAAAAGTAAATACAATCTAATAATTAGGCCTAAGGCTGTATTTATTTAATTTAATGTACTATATTATGATACTTTAAGTTTCTTGTATTAATTATTGTACATTTAATAACAACCTAATAAATCAGCTCATTAATATAATAATTATTAATTTATAATACTTAAAATAAGATTTGTTAATTAAATTGAATTAGTATCAATTAATTTTATTATATTATTTATACTTATTATTTATTCAAAATTTCTGTTTTTGTTTTATTGTTTTATTTGTAAGTATCATAGTACATTTACTTGAATAAATGCAATCTGGTTAGGTTGTATTTAACTAAATACAATCAATAATACATGTATATATTTATGTAAATGTAAGTATTATAGTATACTGAGAGAGACAGTTCTGAGTTATAGGCCTATCTTTATACTGTATTTGCCTATTTAATTATTTTCCTTATAACCTTAATCTATTCATTATCATTATTGCAGCATCTGCAAGAATGATAATGAATAGATTATCATTATCATTCTTGCAGCATCTGCCTTCCTGTATGTTCTGTGACGTCTGTACTTTTTTGTCTTTGTCCTGCACTTTTTTATTTAATTTATTTATATTTTTTCATTAAGGTGGCCAATTTCCTGTACGAGCCTAACTTCCCTCCATTCCTGATTTTGTTTCCTTTTCTTCATTTGGTGAAATGAATACTGCATTATCTAATATTGAAAAACTAAACTTGCGTCTTAAGCAATGATAGATCCAGAGTTGCCATCATAGTCAAAATTTAAACTTTATTTCGCCAATGCTAGTGTGAAGTCGAATAAATAACTGTAAAATGTTTGTGTAACTTATGTTATTGAAACTTACAACTTATTTCATCTTGCATCATCATGATTAGTATAGTCATATGTACTTTTTGAATACAATAGGTTAATAACTGTAATAATAATAATAATTAACATTTTAATGAATATTAAGTTTATAAACTAGATATCATGCGATTTATAAACCGGCGCAGTTATTAATTAACCGACTATACACAGTAGTTTGGGAAACTAACGCAATATAGGAAGAGAAAGTTCATTAAACACATGGAATGAATAGGATAGATTATTTTTCCCTCTCAAATTAAAGACAAGCCCGAAAACAAAAGCAAACATGTTTGTCTAGAATTTGGCGCAAATCAACACAGCTTCAAAACGCCCACAAAACAATTAGCAGTGTCAGTGCATGACGGTGATACTTGATAATTCATACTACGTCCGTATAAAGACTATATAGA